GGGTGGGGAACAGGCCCTGGGGGTGTTGGGGGCAGGATGGTGCCCACTGGAGCTCAGGGGGTGCCGGGATGGAGCCTGTGCTTCCTCAGGGATTTGAGCACCTTGGTTCTCTCCAGAAACGTGGCACCAACACTGAGGCTGTTTTTCCTGGCCTTAAACCAGAGGAGGGCAGGGTTAGGTGGGATATTGGGAAGGAATTCCCGGCTGTGAGGGTGGGGAGGCCCTGGCACAGGTTGCCCAGGAGCCGTGGCTGCTCCATCCTGGAATTGCTCCCATCCCTGGGGGCTCCTTTGGCATGGACAGTCCCGGGGCTGCTGGTCACCTGCTGGGATCTCTGGGGTTGGGGACACCCCAGTGGGGAAGGCAGGAACACCTGGATGGGAGACAGGTCCTGGACACATCCTGGAATCCAGCTGTGGGGGGCAGGAGGGTTTTTTGCAGGGATTGCGACTGGGAATCCCACACTGGGACCAGGATGGAGGGGACAGGAGAAGGGGGGTGGGAGTGGGGGGACGGGAACAGGGAGACGGGAACATGGAAGGCAGGGGCAGGGGATGGGAATGGGAGGGATAAGAGGAGGGGAATGGGGATGAGGGAGACAGGAGCACAGGAATGGGAGTGGGGTGACAGGAGCAGGGGGATGGGAACGGTGGGGACAGGAGCAGGGGGATGAGAGCACAGGGATGGGAGCACAGGGATGGGGGCCGGGATCAGGGGGATGGGAGGGCAGGGATGGGATCAGGGGGCTGGGATCAGGGGGATGGCAGCACAGGGATGGGAGCACAGGGATGGGAGCAGGGGGCCGGGATCAGGGGGATGGCAGCACAGGGATGGGAGCACAGGGGGCCGGGATCAGGGCGCTCCCAGCGCAGCACGAGGGGCGAGGGGGAGGGAGCAGCTCCGCTGGCACCGAGAGCTGCAATTATTTTGTCACCACGGCACAAAAGCGGAGCCGTGGGAAAGGCTGAGCTCGGGAATCAGCCCCGGGACCCCCCGGCGAGGTGCCACTCGCCCCTTCTCCCCGCGCTTCCAGCCCCGCAGCCGGGGAGCAGCCGCCTGGCACTGCCCAGTGCCCGCTGCCCATTCCCGGAGCCCGGAGGCCACTTTTCCAGCGCGGAGTGCGGGGACCGGAGCCGGGTCCCCCCTGCGGGACCCCCCCCGTCCGCGGCGGGGCCGGGGGGGCTCAGACCCCCCCTCGCCCCCCTCCCCGGGGGGCCTGTGTGGGACTGGCTCGGGCTGAATCCGCCCCGTTGGGTCCCTGATGCAGCAGCCGGAGCCTGGAGCTCCAGTTGCCATGGCAATGCCTGAGCGTTGAATCCAGCATTGTCAGCGAGCGAGGAGGAGGAGGAGGCACCCGAGTGAAGAGGAAGAGCCTTCAACTCATCCCCGTGCCGGGGTGGGCTCGCGGCTCATGGCAGCCCGGGATAGGGAGCCCTCGGGGCCATTCCCACGGCCCGCCACGTGTCCCGGTTGTCCGTCGTCGTCGTCGTCGTGGTCGCCGTCGTGGTCGCCGAGCCGGATGCCAGCGCTGCTGCTGCCGTAGGGCCGGAGCGAGCGGAGCATCATCCCGGCCCCGGGCACGGCGGAGGAGGGTGGGTGGGCTGCGCTCCGGGGGCTGCGCCGAGGCGGGAAAAAGGACAGACGAGGCGGGAAAAAAGGACAGACGAGGCGGGAAGGAAGGAAGGGAGGGAGGAAGGAAGGACAGCCGGAGCCGGGCCCCACCGGCCGCGTTCCTCCCCTCCCACCCCCCGGCCATGGCGGGGCCGTGACAGCCGAGCCCCCGCGGGCGGGCGCTGCCCGAGCCGGGCTTTGACTCGACTCGCGGGGGGCTCCCGGAGCCTCTCGGGCGGCCGCAGGGGGGAAAAAGGCGCAGCCCAGGGACATGACTTGGACTCTGCTCCTCGGCTGAGGGGCTCCACGTTCCTGCGGGAGCTCCGGGGGGCCTCGCCCCGCGCCCGGGACTGTGGTGGCCACCGAGACCATGAAGAAGTTCGCCTCCACGCGCAGCCTCAATAAGATCCTGCAGCAGTGCGACTCCTCATCCCGCGAGTACGAGGAGATCCAGGCTGTGGAGAAGAAGTGGCACCTGCATCTGGCCACTCCTCGTAAGTTCCTGGACAAGAGATGCAAAATGCCGTCTCTCTTCCTTTCAGCTCCGCCGCCTCCCAAGAGAGCGCCCAGCACCACCCTGACGCTGCGGTCCAAGTCCATGACGGCCGAGCTGGAGGAGCTGGGTAAGGGCGGGGGGCTCCACGGGGCACGGGGGGTTTGGGGATCCGGGCCCGGAGCGCTCTCCTGGTGCCCGTTTTCCCGGAGAGCTGCATGAGCGGGAGCGCCGGGTGATGTCTCGCTGCGCCGGAGGTCCCGTCGTGCTCGGAGGGGTGTGGGGGGCTCGGAGCCCGTGATTGCAGGATTAGGGGTGCGGGACACCCCCCTCCCCAGAGCCACCCACCCCCTCTGGTGTCGCATCCCCGCGGGGGCGGCCGGGGGGAGGACGTTGGGTGTCTCTGTGTGCTCGTGGAGGGCTCGCCGCCCCCGGGCCCCGGAACCCTGTTCCTCTCCCTGTTCCTCTCCCTGTTCCTCTCCCTGCTCTTCTCCTGTTCCTCATCCTGCTCTTCTCCTGTTCCTCACCCTGTTCCTCTCCCTGTTCCTCTCCCTGTTCCTCTCCCTGTTCCTCACCCTGCTCTTCTCCCGTTCCTCTCCTGTTCCTCTCCCTGCTCCTCTCCCTGTTCCTCACCCTGCTCCTCACCCTGCTCCTCACCTTGCTCTTCTGTTCCCCTCCCTGTTCCTCTCCCTGCTCTTCTCCCTGTTCCTCACCCTGTTCCCCTCGCTTCTCCCTCTCTCTCTTCCTCACCCTGCCCATCTCCGGGCTCCTCTCCCTGCTCCTCTCCCTGTTCCCTCTGCTCCTCTCTTTGTTCCTCTCCCTGCTCCTCTCTTTGTTCCTCTCCCTGCTCATCTCCCTGTTCCTCACCCTACTCACCCAACCCCTCTCCCTGCTCCTTGCCTTCCTCACCCCTTTCCTCACCCCCTCTCTCTCTGCTCCTCACCCTGTTCCTCTCTGTTCCTCACCCTGCTCACCCCACTCCTCTCATTCTCCTCGCCTTCCTCACTTATCTCCTCTCCTCTCCTCTCTCTGCTCCTCACCCCGTTCCTCACACATTCCTTACCTTCCTCTCCCTGCTCATCTCCCTGCTCCTCACCCTTCTCCTTCCTCCACTCCTCTCCCTGCTCTTCACCTTCCTCACCCTGCTGTTATCCCTGCTCCTCACCCCTCTCCCTCTTCACCCCTCTCCTCACCCTTTTCTCATCCCTCTCCTCTCCCCTCTCCTGTCCCTGCTCCCACACACCCGGGTCTTATTCCCCCTCACCCTGTGCCAGGTGAGCTCCAGGTGAGCTCCAGGTGAGCTCCAGGTGCGGTGCCATCTCCTCTCCTCCCTCCCCCCCGTGCCCACGGCCGTGCCCACCCTCTCACACTCCACGGCCTGCCCACGTTTTTCCAGCTGCTTTGCTCTCCGGCTGGAGCTCCGTGTTCCCGGATTCCCTGGAAGCCTCTCCACCCCCAGCCCTTCCTCACTTCCCTCGGTTCTCCCGGCCCTTGTGGCCACCCCGGGGGGTGTCCCCAGTGTCACCCCCCGGTTTGGGGGGGGCTGTTCCCTCCCCTTGGTCCCTCCCCTCTCCCCAGGGGTGGCAGAGGTGCCACCGGAGGGGGTGGCAAGTGAGACAGTGGCCACGTGGCCCTCGTGGCTGGATGGGCAGTGGGAGATGTGGAGAGACCCCCTCGGGGTAGCCACGGAGGGACCCCCATCCCGGGGAGGCTTTGGGGCATCCGTGTGCCCTGGCACAGGTTGGCTCTGCCAGGAGAGGTGCCGGGGCTGGCACCAGCAGAGCCAGAGGAGCTGTTGCCGTGGAGATTTAGGGATTTTCCCTGTGGGAATGTGCCCTCCTGCGCCAGGAGGGTTTAGGGATTTTCCCTGTGGGAATGTGGTGGTGTGGCCATGGCACAGGGTCCAGTCCCGGCTGGGAGGGACCCCCTGGAGCGCAGGAGCCTTGGCAGGACCCCACATCCCCCTGTTTTTCCATGTCCTTCCTTGCTTCCCGCCCTCGGTGCGTGACCAGGATTCCCAACCCCGTGGGCTCCTCAGAGGAACCAAACCCAGTGCAGTTGGGACAGATCTCGGCATTCCAGGGCTGGAATCAGCCATGGTCATTCCAGGGTTGGAATCAGCCGTGGTCATTCCAGGGCTGGAATCAACCGTGGTCATTTCAGGGCTGGAATCAGCCGTGGTCATTCCAGGGCTGGAATGAGCCGTGGTCATTCCAAGGCTGGAATCAGCCGTGGTCATTCCAGGGTTGGAATCAGCCGTGGTTTATTCTACACTGCTCTCTCTGCCCTTATTCCCACCCTGGTCTGCTCCCTGCGTCTCCAGACCTTTATTCCCAAGCCAAAGGCTTTCTCTTTGCCAGGATCCATTCGGAACAGCCCCTTTCTTCCCCTTTTTGCCCTTCCCTGTGTCCAGACCCATCCCAGACTCCTGGGTTCCCACTCCCACCCTTGGCTGTGACCCAGAGAGGCGTTCCCAGCCGTGTGCTGTGTCCCACCTGGAAAGGGATTGGGAACATCAACCCCATGGCTCCCAGGAGAGGGATTTGGAGGGATTTGGAGAGGGATTGATGTCAGTCCACATGTTCCCAAGGAATTGCAGTGGTCAGTCCCTTCCTCAGCCCTGTGGATCGGGGAATGTCCCACCTCATATCCCACAGGGAAAATGGGGAATCATCCCCCTTCCCACACTTGACCCTGCAGAGGGAGTTTCCATGTGGATCAGCACCTCAGGCCTTGTCTTAGAGCCTTGTCTTAGAGCCCTCTCTCCCTCCCAAGGGACCCTGGTGGCAGTGAAGGGACATTCAAGGGGAGCTCTGTCAGGTGCTCCTTGCCCCCTTTTCCTTGGATCCTGTCCCTCCCTTGCAGCTCCCAGAACATCCCACGTCCCCACAGCCCCACTGAACATTTCCTTGCTGCCTGTCGTGCCCGTCCCCTTGGAAGAGCAGATTCCCAGCAGGCTGCAAACAAAGCACTCCCATCCCAAAATCCCGGCCGTGCCGGATGCAGGGAAGGGCTTTGGGAAGTGTGAGGCTGCCGTGGAGAGCAGGGAGGCACTGAAAGCTTTGGAAGAGCTGCCTGGACATCAAATCCACCCAGCTCTGCTCCCGGTCTGGCTTCCCTGCTCCCAAGAGGAGGGGGAGGGATGGGTGGAGGGCTGATCCCAGCGGATCCCAGGGCTGGGATCAACGAGGTCCGCCCTGCCAAGCCTTTGTCCCGGCAGAGGCTCCACATCCCAGGCTGGATGCGGCTCCTGCCCACATGCCAGAGGCAGGGAAGCACCGGGAGCAGGCAGGGCAGGCAGCCAGGCTGGAGCTGGGGCTGGAAGCAGGAACTGTGCATGCCATTCATGTTGTCTTTTGTTTCTTGATTCCAAGCCTCCATGCGGAGAAGGAAAGGGGGTGAGTGAAAACTGCACATCCTGGGGGCTCCTCCCTTCCCTGCCAGCACCCCCCAGCACCCAAACAGGGGGGCACCCAGCACCCCGAGGGGCTGGATTGGGTCACTGTCCCCGCAGAGTCCCACGGGATCATCCCGGTGGCAGCCGGAGCTCGGGGTTGGCACCAGTGCCATGGTGGGGTGCCAGGAGCAGGGGTGGCCGAGTGGGGCTCTCCTTGGCATGGGCAGGATGCCAGTTTGTCCCCGGATTCCAAGGGCTGCCGTTCCCAGGGGTGATCCCTGCCCCGTGGTGAAAATCCGCGCAGGAATTGTCCCCAGGTGGGGTCCCCATCCAGGGGAAGGGGCTGGGCCGTGTCCAGCATCGTCCCCAAATGTCCCCAAGTGGGGTCCCCTTCCAGGGGAAGGGGCTGTGCCGTGTCCAGCATCATCCCAAATGTCCCCAGTGGGGTCTCCTTCCAGGGGAAGGGGCTGGGCCGTGTCCAGCATCATCCCAAATGTCCCCAGGTGGGGTGCCCTTCCAGGGGAAGGGGCTGGGCCGTGTCCAGCATCGTCCCAAATGTCCCAAGTCTCTGCTCCTGCCTCTGTGCAGGTTGTCCTGCTGCTCCTGGAATTCCCACTGCTCCCACATTCAGGGTGTGCCGGGGATGTCACAGGAGGGACACGATGAAACCAGGAGGTTTTGGATGGAAGGTGTCCCTGCCCGTGGCAGGGGTTGGAACAGGGTGGGCTTTAAGGTCCCCTCCAACCCCAAACCATTCCGGGATTCCTGCCAGGGCCAAGAGCCAGGAATGGACAATGGGGAAGGAACTAGAGGCTCATTCAGCTCCGTGTTCCCACAGCACAGCCCTGGGGCAGAGGGGAGGGAGCCTGGAGGCCTGAGCTCAGCCCCCACCCTTTCAGAGGCAAAACTGTCCTGGGGGTTCCTGTTCCCTGCTCCCTGAGGAGCTGGGAATGTGAGGGATCAGCTCTTCCCTTGCAGTGGGGGGGGGACAGGGAGGCAGCCGGGCAGGGGTGAGGTGTGGGGGGACTCTGAGGGACCCTCGACCCTCCCCTGCACTGGGCACATCCCTCAGTGCCCTGAGGGGCCACACCAGGGTCCCCTGGGTGAGGAGAATCCGCTGGAGGCCTCCGAAGTGTCCTGGCAGCGGAGATGGCTCCGGGATGCTCTTCCTGGAGTGGAAGAGAAGGATCTGGGGAGACCTTGGAGCCCCTTCCAGTGCTTGAAGGGGCTCCAGGAGAGCTGGAGAGGTTCGGGATGTCACATCCCTGTTTGTCCCAGACACTGGAGTGACACTGGTTGTGCTGGGGACACGGAACGTCGGGGCCATTCCGGCACCTGAGTCCACTCAGCCTGGACACATCCCAGTTTTTCCCAGACACTGGTTGTGCTGGAGCCTCGTGGAGTCCCACGGACATCCACGTGTCCCATTGTCCCTGTGGCACCCGGGTTTCCCATCACCTCCCACTCCTCCTTTGCCCGCCCCGGGGGGGGACTCGGCTCGTCCCGAGTATCCAAAATAAATCCGGGAAAAATTCGCTCTTTCGTGTAAGATGGAGGATTCCTTGGAATGTGGCACGGCCAGGAGCGGCCCCTGGGGTGGGAAGGTGGCCCAGCATGGCATTGGCATGGCACGGTGCCACCCTGAGCCGAGCAGGATCCAAACCCCCCCCCAAATCCTTGGAAAGCTGCTGGCTGGGGAGGAGAGGACGAGAACTCCCGGCGCTCCCTGCTCGGGGCTGTCGGAGGGGAGGTGTTCCCTGTGGCCCTCCCTGACCCCTGGGCTTTCCCCCTTGGATTTGCAGAGAAGCTGGATGAGATCCTGGCGGCCGCAGAGCCGGCGCTGAGGGCGGATATCGTGGAAGCAGATTCCAGGGCAGCCACTGTGAAACAGAGACCAACCAGCCGGAGGATCACCCCTGCAGAGATCAGTGTGAGGGACACGGACAGGGAGGGCAGGGAGGGAGGGAGAGGGATAGGAGGGTGTGGGGAGAGAGGCAGTGAGGACACGGAGAGGGATGGGAGGACAGGGAGGGAGAGGGAGGAGAAAACATGGAGGGAGAGGGATGGGAAGGCACGGAGGGAAAGGGATGGGAGGGCACAGAAGGGAGAGGGAGGAGAGGACATGGTGAGGGAGGAATGGGAGGACACAGAGAGGGATGGGAGGACATGGAGGGAGAGGGAGGAGAGGGCATGGAGGGAGAGGGAGGAGAGGGCATGGAGGTAGAGGAAGGGAAGGGCAGGGAGGGAGAGGGATAGGAGGATGTGGGGAGAGAGGCAGTGAGGACACAGGGATGGGAGGACACAGAGGGAGAGGGAGGAGAAAACATGGAGGGA